CATGGTTTAGCAAATATATTCCACGTGCCCGAAGAAAGATGGAAGCAAAGTCAAGAAATATGTGTGGACTATCGATTGAATAGAGCATGTCCGTAAAGGACGACTTCCCCTGCCGCATATCGACATTGTGGTAGACCGAAGTGGCGGGACATGAGAAATGGTCTTCCTTGACCAATCTTGCTGGTCGGGTACAACCCAAATAATGATGCATTGTGCCAAGACAAGATCAAAACGGCTTATCACGGAGTGGCGGAAAACTACTGCTACAGATCAGTGCCTTTTGGCTCAAAATGCCGGGGCAAACCTATCAAAGGAAATGTCGACGACCATCTTCCATGACAGATGATTCACGAAGAATAGAATGTACTGGACATAGTGGTTGTAAATCAAAAAAAGCTGAAGAAACATACAAACACGCTTTGAGAAGTTGCTTCTTAGACTTCGAAAAGTACAATTTAAAACTCAACCCGGCAAAAAATGTCTGTTTGGAGTTACATCCGAGTATTTCTGGGCATATGGTCAGTCGAGGGCATAGAAATTATCCTTTCAGAAAAGCCCCAGTCGGAGGGGCATAGAGATTGACCCTTCAAAAGCCAAAGCCATTTTGGAAATGCCAGCACCGAAGACGGAAAAAGAAGTTCGGGGTTTCCTGGGAACGCTACAGTACATCAGCCGGTTCATTAATCAACTGGTCGATACTTGTGGTCCGATTTTCAAATTACTCAGGAAAGGAGTAGCCATCAAAGCTTTTGACCAAGTCAAGCAATATCTGTTATCCCCGCCGGTTTTACAGCCACCAAGGCTAAGAAAGCCTTTGCTATTGTACCTATCATTGACAGAAGAAGCGATGGGTGCAATGCTAGCTCAACAAGCAGAAGATACAAGGATAGAAAATGTCGTGTATTACCTCAGCAAAAGGATGCTCTAAAATACAATAAGATAAGAGAATTTGTGTTTGCTTCTAGTATGGCCTGTTTACAAAGCTGCAGGCTACTACCTCTCATCTTACACCACCTACGTCATTTCTGATCGAACCCCCTTGAAAATTCCTATGGAGAGGCCGGTTCTGACTGTAAAATGGCTATATGAGTGTCGGTGCTCGCAGCTATATGAGTTTAAAATCGTTACAATCGAAAGGCGGGTGAAAGCGGAGCCTTGGCTGATTCAACTAGCAGATATTACCGATCGAAGACCAAATGCCGGATGTAGAATTCTTGATGAAGACTTGTGTGAACTTTGGAAAGTGAAGTCGGAAATTGTACTTCGATGGAGCTTTCGATACTACCAATGGAAATGGGGGTTGGACGTCATATTCAAAAAAACTCCTTTGGAGAATACATTTCCAATCGCTGTCAAATTAGATTTCGACTGTAACCAACAATGAAGCCGAGTATGAAGCTTGCATCAAGTGTTAGAAGTGGCCCTGGAGAAAGAAATACAAATCCTTAGGTTTTGGAGATTCCAATCGGCATTAGTCTCTCAAGCTCTTTAAGAAAATGGAAAATTAAAGAAGAGCGTCTTTTCCCTACTACGACGGCTTGCACAATTGGCCTCAGCCAATTTGAGGATTTATCCTTCCACTACTTCCCTGCGAGCCAAAAAGCAGTTCGCAGATGGCTCTGGCTACTTTAGCCTCCAATGGTCAATGTTAGAAGGAAGACCGAAAGAGGATCGAATCATTCGACCCTTGACAGTGCGGCTACAGAAACAGCCAGCACATATCATGAATTTGGTCGACGATAAGCCCTAGTATTGGGATATACGGAATTATCTTCAGAACGAAGTTCACCCAGAGGGATCCACCAAAACTGATCAACGGACATTGAGACAACTAGCATCCCGATATTTCCTTACTGGGGGAGTTCTTACAAAAGAAGTTGGAATGGCCTGCACCTAAGGTGCGTTGATGAGGAAGAAGCTCAAACCATCATGGATTCCTTACATAACGGGGAGTCTGGCCCACAGGATAGCCTTGGCTCGAAAAATTGTGAACCTGTATTAACTGGTCAACCAGAATGCAGATTGCTGAGCACGCGCAGAAGTGCCACGAATTGTTCCAAAATTTTCGCTAAGCTGGCAAAAGCAGCCTTCCAGTCAGATTTGAATTCCATTCAAACCTCACCATGGCCTTTCGCAAACTTGGGGCAGAGACCGTGGATCGGAAAAATCCACCGAAGGTTTCTAACGAAATCATCAATTCTCCTGGTTGCTGTAGATTATTCAACTAAATGGATCGAACACTTCTATTCGGCCTTTAAATGCCAAGAAGCAGCACAGTTTGTTCGTACTAACAATCCTTTTCCGGGACGGAAACACCATTCGAGATCATTACGATACGGGTCTTCACTTTTCATAAGCGAATTTTCTAATTGTTGAAGAAACGAAAATTCGGGCAACCATAAATCCTCGCCCCTATCGTCACAAAACGAATGGGGCGTAAAGATAGCTGCAATAAGGCTATAAAGTTCATTTTGCAAAACAAGTTAAAAAGCATAAAGCTTGCGTATGGAACAGCTATTCTAAATGCCTTATGGGGATATTAGGGACTTCGATTAGAAATGCCCACCGGTGAGCAACTCCATTCGTTTGTAATACGTATGAAGCATATTGCCTATTGCAGCTAGAGAAGTTCAAAGTCGGCAAGGATTTAATCCAGGAAGAGCCAGATTCAGCGAAGCAGATTGGGCGAATGAATTATTCATTTGCAACTTTTGGGTATTGGATGAAAAGCGGTTGCAAGCAATCCACCAAACTTCAATCTTACCAGAGAAGAATGGCACGACTTTTAACAACAGAGTCAAAGACCGAAAACCGAAAAGTTGTTTGGTTCTGAATGGGAAAATTAAGACACCAATTCAAGATTCCACGTGGGGAAGTTTCGTCTCTCATTGGGCTGGCCCCTATGTGTTTGAAAAATAAGCGGAGCCGTCATCTTGACTGATTTGGATGGTTTGGAATTCACAAATCCGTGTAATTTAGATCAGTTAAGAAGATATTTTGTGTAGTTGTAATCATTCGCATAATGTAGAAAGAGCTACATTAGACCTGATTCTCCTTGAAAAAAAAGAAATTATATATCGGAGATGTGTAGGCAGCTCTCATTGGGCGCGGTCTAAACATTAATAAAAAATCATTTCATAATTCATCTCTTCTTTGCCAAATAGAAAAAAGAGGAAAGAAAAGGAAAAAAAAGTGAAAAAAAAAAAGAAGAAAAACCCACTAAGTCGAAAACCTGAAAGGGCGGCTTAGGCAAAAATGGGTAGCTCGCTAAGTTGAAAACCCGAAAAGGCAGCTTAGGCAAAAATTAGAGCTTAAGGGCGAACCCGAGAGGGCGGCTTAGGCAAAAATCAGAGCTTGAATAAATGAAGTTGGAAAATGCTTGGAAAGCTTAATGACATGCCCAATTGAAAGCAACAAAGTCAAACAGTCCAAAGTCAAGCAGAAAACTAAAGAGACCAAGAAAAATAAATAATAAAGTCCAGATCCAAAGGAACATACATCCAAAAATCCAATGCCAAAACACCAAAATCCACACCCCAAAGTCCCAAGTAAAGACAAAAGAGTTCAAACAAAGCCAAAACACCAAAAGTCCAAAAGCCTATTAGAGTCTAGGTACCCCGTCGCCTCCGTGGGGCAACGTCCTCCGCGCCACGTTGCTGAACTCCCCTCCAGCCTCGCCTGTCCGAGGACCAACTGGAACCCTTCCGCCAAATTTCATAGGCATGTGATGCAATATGAGAATGAGAAAGAAAACACGTATGTGTTGTGAGGTCGCCACCTTGTTTAATTATTTAAGGGTAAACTAGGAAAAAACCCCAATGACTCCATTTTTTAATTAACCTAGTTACTAGATTAATTATCCCAATGATTAAGGCACAATACGAACCCGAGATGGATCCCGAGACTTATGTCAGCCCGATAAACTAACCGATAATGAATGCTTTTGCTAACGGTAGAATAATGATAATGAAAGGTTTGAGTGATTTTGACTTTGCCACCGGGGTGAAAATCCCGAACTGCTACGTAACTTCCTTTTGAATGAAGATCAAAAAGTCAACGTAGTTCGATAGGCTTTGGTTTCAAGGGCTTTTGAAAGTGTATGCTTAATGCTATGAGGTGTTGTGTATCTCCGTGCATGTTTTGTATGCTTTGTCATTGTGTTAGGGCATTGCCAAAAATGTGTGATTTTAATGGCTTTTAGCCAAAATGATTTGATTTAGGCAATTGTTGCCAAAAATGTGATTTTTAGGCGATTTTCGCCAAAAATGGTTATTTAAGGCCTTTGGCCAATAAGATTGATTAAATTTAAGCGATTTGTCGCTTAAAATGCGTTGATTTTAAGTCTTTGGCCAAAATGTGTTGTTTTAGCAATTAGTTGCCAAAATGTTCATTTAGCTTTAATGCCACATTAATCAAATTAATTCGGCGTTCGAGCTTAATCCACAATATTTGAAACGTGATCGAGTTAAGGCTTTTAGCCACAATTAATTGATTAATTGACTTAAGCCGAATTTGTCTTCGAAATAAGGCCAATTAACCGTAGTATTAATTAACTAAGGCTCTTTTAGCCAAATTGTTGATTTAAACTTTAATACCACGATTAGTGATAACCGGCATTTAAGCGTGAATCAAATTAATTAAAGTCAGTTTTATTTACAAAAAAAAATATACTTAGATGCATTTTATGCAATTGCTTAGTAGAATTATTTAAGAGTAGAAGAAAAAAATATGCATAAGTGCTAAAATTAAATAGGCAGCAGTTTGTTTACATTACCTATTTAATCGACGACCGCTTCTTAACTCCCAGATTAAGCTCCTCGCTTAGGGAAAATATAATTAATTTTAATTTGTTTAATTTAAAGTCCAAATATCACAAAAAAATGCAATAAAAAATTAAATTTTTTAAATTGACAAAAAACGGTAAAGAAAACGCAAAGAGCGTGAGAGGGAGAAGGATTTCGTCCGTTTCAACACAGATCAGGCACCGAGGTAACCAGAAAATGGCGAAAAATGGTCTTATTATTAGGCCATTTCGGGGTTCCCGGGCGGCAGCTGCCGCCCCAGGGGCTGGGCGGCAGGTGCCGCCTGGCTCGCGGCAGGGCCGCCCTGTCGCGTGGGCAGGGGGTGCCCCTGGAGAGCGCGCAGCTGCCGCCCAGTCGGTGGGGCGGCAGGCCCCGCTCTGGTCTTGCGGGCAGGATGTCGCCCAAAGCGGGCGCGCAGTTGGCCGCCCAGGGCGTGGGAGGGGCTTAGCCCCGCCTGCGCGGGCGACAGGCCCCGCGCGCGCTGGGCGGATTGCCTCGCCCGCGCGGGCGCGACAGGCCCCGCGCGCGCTAGGCGGCTGGCCCCGCCCGCGGCGCGCAGCCCCGCCAGCGCGGGGGGCGGACAAAAGGGGCCCTTCCCCCGGCCCGCGCGCGCTGGGCGGTAGGCCTCGCCCCGCTGCGGCGGTAGCCTCGCCCGCAGCGCGGCAGCCTCGCCCCGCTGGGCGGCAGGCCTGGCCAGGGAATGGGCGGCAGGTGCCGCCCAGGCGTGGGCGCTGCTGCCCCGTGCCCGTGGCCGCTCCGCCGTGGCCGGGTGTGGACGCTGTTGCCTCGCCTCCGAGGGCCTTTTTGGAGTTTCGAACCTCCGAAAAAAGTATTCCGGGACCCTGTTCCGCGATCTCGCGATGATTCCGAACGTTTTTATAGTACCAATTGACATATTTTCGGTGAACTTCCGAAATTAAGCCTCCGGGCCTCGCCTCCGTGGGGCAATATCTTCTGAGTCATCCTTAACTGTCGAACTCTCCCCAACCTCGCCTGTCCGAGGAGCCAACATAATCTCCTCATCGCCAGCATCAGCCCGAACCCAACTCTCGAGTGCACTCAGCAATGCGTTCCTCCTTGGCTTTTCCACTGGCCAGACAGCGGTCATGAACCAGGTCCGATATTCAGGAGAAGTATGAATACCAGCAGGATCAGGTAAGGGCCTAACCATGTGATGGTCTCTAACCCATGCCCTAAGAACGGCTCGGGTAACTCCCGGAGTGATGGCTGAATCAGCTAAAGAATCAAATCGGGAACAGTTTGATCTATCCCCATTCGCCTCAAAAACGCGCGAAGTTGCAGTACCAGGTACAAGGTGTAAGGCCTAAAAGGTAAAACCTGAGATGACGAAAGCATAAACCTGGATAAAGCGGATGATGTCCATACCAGGGTACAACCACTGCACCTCATTTGACCCAATTCCATTAGCCATTGAGCCATGCATCAGCAGAACGGTATGTGATCAGAATCCTCCGCATACTATACTGAGAAGTGTGTAAGGCAAACGGTAGGAGCAGCAACCACTTGAGTGGTCCTTCAACAAACCTGGGTAATGGATCCTTTCTATTACAAAGGATGAACCAAAAAAAAAAAAAAAAAAAAAAAAAAAAAAAAAATAAAAAAAAAAAAAAAGATGAGAGGAAAACCTGGAGTTTAATGGGGAAACTGGTCCAGTCCTCGAAGCGTTAAGAGTCAACTCTGTCATAGGCTCCTGATGGTTTCTTGCCAGCACTAATCCACCAAATGCAACCCATGGTCCTCCATCTGCCGAACCATAGACAGAGTCGCAAGTCCCGAAGCCTGGCGTCCTTGTTAAACAAGTAAACCATCTAATAAGCAAGAAAACCAAGTGCCCGCATCCTACAGCCTCATCCGGTCTGGGGTTTCTCTGAAACGACCTCTGAAAATTCATCAATCAGAGCACAGAATTGCTTTCTGATCACCAACAATTCATTAGCCCTAGCTTTGAGTCGACTGAACTGAAACAGGTTTTCAAAAACGACGAACATACCCAATCTTTACTTCTGCTCTGACAAGGGCATTGGGATCGCACCCTATGATAGCACAAAAAATCCTCAAAAAAGACACATCTCCTCCATCATAGCTCCGAACCGGCGAAAAAACAGGCCTCTGATCCCAAAGCCGGATGCAGCCATAAAAAATTCCAGTCGATTACTAGCCCCCCTGAGAGTAACGATAGTTGAGATAAGACCATACCTCCCCAAAATTGATCTTTTCAACTTTGGAGAGGAACTCCTAGATCCAGCTTGATGCTGTGATTGAAAGAAGGATTCATTCTTTAAAGCAAAAAGACAAAAGAAGAAGAGAGAAAAGAGAGAATGAGTGAAAAGCAACCAATCAAAACAAGTTTTTATAGAAAAATTGCGCCGAAATAACGCAGCAGCCGCCGAACAAGGCGACAGCGGTCGCCAAATTGCTCACCAAATAACAGCGGCAGCAGCGCCGAATAATGGCGGCAACGCCCCCACAAAATTCACAATCAGGCCCCATAAGCCCGAAAAAATCCAATTCAGCCACAGGAGGCCCGAAAATCACATTTCAGCCCCAGAGGCCCGAAAAATCCACATGTCAGGCCCCAGAGCCCGAATAAAAATTCACATCAGCCAAAGTGCGCCCTAAGAATCCACAATCAGCCCCAGAGGCCGAAAAATCACAATTCAGGCCCACAGAGCCCGGAAAAAAAATCACATTCAGGCCCTCTATATCTAATAAATCACAATTCAGCCACAGAGGCCTGAAAAAATCAAGCATTCAGCCCAGAGGCCCGAAAATTCACATTCAGGCCAAAGAGGCCCGATCAACAATTCAGGCCATAGAGGCCCGAAAAAAATCAACATTCCAGCCCCAGAGCCCGGAAATTCCAACAATCAGGCCCCAAGAAGCCCGAAAAAATCCCAATTCAGGCCACAGAGGCCCAAAAAATCACATTCAGGAAGCCGCAGAGGCCGGAAAAAATCACATTCAGGCCCAAAGTGGACTCCGAAGATTCACATTTCAGGCCCCAGAGAAGGCCCCGAAAAAAAAATACTTTTTTCCTTTTTTTCCTAA